ATATATATATATATATAACGGTGTATTCAAGATGACCATCAAACCTTTAGAAGCTTTTAAGATGCATCTTTATTTATAGTATTTTTTTTATTATTTATCATCTATTAAGAAGTCAATAAATAATTAAAAATAGATAATGTATTTATAATTTGCACTGCTCAACTGTCTGTTAAAGCTGCTAAGCTATTTGATTAAACTGTATAACTGTAAATGTATAAGATAGTAAGATAATAGTCAAAACACACTGCACAAATAAAAATATCAAAAAACATGAAATCAAACAAAAAGCAAGATGATGTTCACAGTAATATGCATTTGACTAAGCAAATGAGCACCACTCCAGACCTGCCACAATGAGGGTTTTGAAGCCAGTGGAGAAGTGGTTTTCTGTGCCACACTGAATTACTCTGTGAAGATGTGCTGAGCACTGTTCTGTTTGTTTTGGGCTGGATTTAGCCACGGTCAGTACCTGGAAACAGAGCCAGCACTTTGGCATTCATCACAATTGTTTGGGCCTGTGGATAATTGGTAGCTAATTAATTCATGATTGCTAATTTAAGAACAGCCTTCCAAAAAACACAAACATGTCCTTGACCACCTGCCAACATGTTTTCTCACCAGCGCTCACCGCAATCTGCTCTTCCTCAGAGCGCAGCGAGAGTGAGAGAGAGAGGGGAAGGAAAATGTGGTTATTGGGGCTGGAAGGATGTGGAAACACTCTTTAGAAAACAGATTTAATGAGCTGATCACTGTGACAAAGAAGAAAAGTCACAAAAGAACAATAAATGACATTGAAGGACAATGAGAGGCATGAAGGATTTATATGGAATTGTCTGACTGTACTTCAATGTTCTTTTCAATAATCCCTCTTGACTGCAGGGTGTTTTATTGTTGATCCTACAGAAATACCTCTCTTACTCAACTTCCATGCTGTACTTTTTAAGCAAAACACATTCTCACTCCCAAATCGTCACGTATGTCCACACTGGGTACTAGGGTGACCTTGTAGATGTGATTTTACAGGACAATGCAGGACATTTGTGTGAGAGATAAGTTTACTACTATGTAAATATTGATTTACATTAGTTGGAAAGCCTATTTACCATCACACTGGATGATAACGTTTTCAATCACCAATAAGCTTTGTTAATTGTGACTGGCCCTATGACTGGCACTCGATTTGTCCAGGTTTGATTGATACAATTTAATTTACTCTACAGGACCTATTCAGTCTGTTGAATATAATGAACTGAGTAATAGTTGAGTTTATACTAAAATGAATTTAAATAAATAAATACATAAATAAATCCTTTGCTCCATTTAGTTGTTATATGCAGAAAAATCCCTCTCTACGAATGCGTTGGTTGGTTATTTTCCCGGCTCTAGCTAGAAAATGACAGCTGCACAAATAGATGTTTTAACGTCATTCACATTTTTTATTTTATTTTTTTTAAATCATATTTCTTGCAACTGCAACTAAAATGCAACTAGAATTGCCTGTGACAGACTGTGCTCTGCCTTCACTCCGCGTCTGAAGTATTTCAGTTTGTTTGAAATATGACAGTTCTGTTCATAACGTATATTAAAAAATAAAATAAATAAAATAACAGGAGAGTTTCAAAGTGGCTTATTGGAACACTAGTGTGCAAACTTTTTTACTACCACATGACAAGCTAATAACATGGTTGTCTTGTCAGCATTAAAATGTATAATTGCTGCTTTTTGCAGTGCAAATTTTGTTTGTGATTAAAATAACTACGTTTTCGTCAGTTATTTTACCTACTGATCGATGCATTTCTTACAGATTTCTGCTCATTCGAAATTGGATACAGATGAAGTAGCACTGTAAGATCACATTTGTTTGAATGCATTATTGAGAGAGCGATTGCGTGTGGATAAGTGTTGACGCTCCGACTTTTAAAAAATCCGCTCCTCCTCGCTCCATTCAAAATCACACCACTCCGCTCACATACTCTGATTGTGCGGGCCGCCTGTTGCCGACCACTGCCCTACTAGGTACCCCTTTAGTGTAACTTTTCAATGAGCAGAGTACTCCATTACTTTCAATGAGAAACGTT